CTGGTCCCTGTTCTTAGCATGTGAACCCCACACAGGGCCAACCCCTCAGTTTAGCTAGACATCAGGCTGGCTAGGATAGAGCCTGGCCTTGACACCCTTCAACACCACCAAGAGACAAGACCACTTGTCAGCTCAGGCTCTGGAAGCTCATCCAGAAAAGCCACACGTGGCCACCAATCCAAGGCAGGTGGGGGCCTCAGGACCCTGCACCCAGTGTATTTGGGGGACAGCTCCTTTCAGAAGGCTCACAAACGTTTTCACAAGTTCTCTCTGTGAGTTCCCAGCACACGTGCTCAGTGATGGCTTCCAGGAAGGACATGCCCAGCCTTGAGGAACACCACAGACAATGCAGAACCAGTCAGTAAAGCAGCAACAATGCCCTTGAGTCACAGTCCTTCCCGTGCCAGGCACCTGCCACAGGCCCGACTCTCCCCTTAGTAGGTGTCATGGTAGACTTTCCCAGCAGAGGGCGCTAAGATGCCACTGCAGAAGGAAAGGACCTGAAGTCAGGATGCTGGCGCTCTGACAGACCTGTGGCAAGGAGTGTTTGTTCCTTGCATGGATCACTGTGTGATCTGCAATAGCAAAAGCAGCAGCTGTCTGGACCGTGGGGACTCAGGGACCCTGTCTCAAACTACCAACCAATAAAAATCTAGGGAATGGCCAGCACTTCTCAGCTAGGACCAGATCCCTCCTACCCTTCAGCCATCCCCCATCCTCTTTAAAGGTACCCTGGGAAGGGATTCTGCAGCAACAGAGGGAATCTCCTCCAACTCTAGGCACAGATCCCTCTGGGGTACAAGGCTAGCTCTACTCCCAAGCAGCCCTCTCTGGTGACAAAGCTGTGCTATGAGCTGGTCCCTACCTACTTCCGGAGGCCAGAGGACAGAATCTGGCCACTCAGATCAGGTGGAGGCAGAATGTGGAAGTGCCTGCTGCCTGGCAAGAATGGAGCTGAAAAGTAAGGGCAACACGGAGTAAGGCAGGCCAAACAGTGCTCCATGAAGCTCCAGGACAGGCACTGCCAAAGGTATGGGGTAAAGCACAGCAGGACGATGGGATGGCACGGAGGGGCGGTGTCCAGGACAAGTAAGAGTATCACAGCCAGCGGGGACCTATATCACACACACCAGGGAGGGCACCGAATAGAAACCATGATAAAAGGCATGGATTTGCCACCAAGACTCATTTTCAGTAATGTTGGTCAACTCTGTGTGTCTGCCTGCCTGCATGTGTTACAACAGATACCGCAGGTCTTGATACCTGAGAACACCTGCCCATTTCAGAGCCAGTTGGGAACACTATCCTCACTGGAAGAACACAGGTCGTATGTGATATTCCAGCTTATTAGGGGCAGCCCCCCTCCCTGTCCTTCTTAGTAGGACATCTTCCCAATGCTGTAGGGTGGCCAGGCCTGGTAGAGGACACAGAGGTCATGGAACTTACAGAAAGCTTCACTGGAGACTTGTCTCCAGACAAAGCAGCCCTGTGTGTGTCTCCACTGGACAGAGTGGCAGGAAGAACATCACACAGAACTAACAGCAGGGACAGCAATGCCTAGGGAGAGGTAGAGATCTTTCTGGGTCCCCACTATCTATGCCTCCCTGTGAGCTACAAAACCCGTACCCCTGGCCCATACAACATCACCCCAAGCCTGGCAGATTTTTCCTTGAGCCACCCAGGCCAATGCAGCCCCGTCCCTCAGTCTTCAAGCTTCTACACTGCCTACAACACAGGTCTGACACTAACTGGAGGACCTGCAAAGACCTAGGACCTCACGGCAGTGAAGTCGGGTAAGGTTGACAGGAGGCCACACTAGGAGTTTCAACTTTATAGGAAATGAGCATGTTTCCTAAAGATACCACCCCACAGATGGTCCATGTTTATGGTCATGGCGTTCAGCACCTAAGGGAAAAGGGTACTGCGGCTGCCGCAGGAATGCAGAAAGACTCAGGAAGGAGGCTGAGCATGTCTACCACACAGAACTCATAAAGTCACCGTTGACAGTGACTGTGAAGATACAGAATGCAGACCCTGGTGCTGGCAGGCTTTCAACTGACATGGCTGAACTACAAAACCAACTCAACATAAACTGCTACCTCTCTTGTGTAGCAGCTTACATCCCAGGGCTTGGAGGCAGGCCATCCTGCTCAGCACCATACCGGCCAAGTCCTCTTCTGCTACTAGCAGGACGAAGCTGGTGTACAGGTACTGCCATGCAGCAAGGACCCCAGGACATTTCTGCTTCACACACCATGCCAAGGAGCCACAGGGCCACGAGGTAACATGGGCAGGGTTCTACCCCAAAGGGGTCCTCAGCAGTACCTAGGTCTGAGGATGAATGTTCACAGAAGCCTGTTGCCAGGTTACACTGCAGGGCACGCATCACTCTAGTTCAAAAGGCAGGCAGGAAACAGTGGGTCGTTGGAAGGCTGGGGGCTAGGGACCTGATCCTACCTGGAACCCTGAGGGGAACGCTGAACCTCTCTGAGCCTGAGGCCCATCTGGAGAGAGGGTAAACACACAGCTGAAACCCAACTACAGGCCCACAGGTGACAGACGAGAGATAAGAGGCTAGAGCAAGAACAGTGTATGACTGAGGTCCCACCAAGAATCTACAGGCGGGTTGGGGATTTAGCTCAGTGGTAGAGCGCTTGCCTAGCAAGCGCAAGGCCCTGGGTTCGGTCCTCAGCTCAAAAAAAAAAAAAGAATCTACAGGCTTCAGTCCATATTATGTACAACTAGCATGGCACGGTGCCCTCAAACATCTGTGAAAGCAGGCCAACATCCACAGCAGGGCCATGCCTGACCAAGCTCCAGAGTGGAGAAAGGGCAGCGTCAAACCACAGCTGCCAGCCTAAATAGTAACAAGACAAGGAAACACACACAGTTCCGGAGAATAGTATCACCCCATGCTGTCCCTGAACTTGGCACATCCCACAGCTGTTACCCCATGTTGTAGATGAAACAGAGAGATCACACATGAGCCCAGGCTCTTATTCATGTCCACAGCTATCATTCTTCCAAAGACCATGCTGCCTGAGGACTCAAAGATGTTGGCCCACTCTATAGCAGTGGACCTAATGTCCTGCACGCCAGCTACACTGAGGTAGGCATCTTGTACACTCCTGTTTATGACGGACACAAGCTCTCTGATTCTGGAAATGACAAAGCAGAATCATGAGGACACATACACTACCTGGGGGAAAAAAACCACGTGGTGTCATCTTGCTGACACCCTGGCTCACAGGGTTTACCTTCCTGAATACTGGACAACTAAACTTCCCTTTTCCTTCCTAGAAGGCAAATTTGTCCTAACCAATCACAAATTCATCAGAACAAGAGTCATGGCCTGGAAAGGTTTGACAGGCAAGGCCAGGATGAAGGCTGTCCTCTTGATTTCTGGGAGGCAATGGGCTGGGCCCGCCCTCCACACCCCACGGGAAATTCTGGCCTATAACCCTGATGGTCTGGGTGCAGAGCAGCTTTCCACAAACACACACACACCCATATACACACATAGGCCTTCAGGGAGTTACAACTCCAAAACGGTGCAGTCTTGGGGGAGGGGTACCCACCACCAGCCCAGGATAGAGGGCAGGCCTGGAAGCCCTTACCCTGCCACACCCTGAAACAGGCTGACAGGATCTGCGAAATGGCCTTGTGTGATAAGAGGTGCAGTAGGCCATCACAGGGCGCCTCCCTCCTTTCCTCCTGCCCACAGTTCCGTATTTCCTGCAGGCAGCACACGCTGCAAGGATTCTTCCTCTGCCATCTTTCAGGCTATGAGGAAGAAGGTAGTGTCCTTGTGAGGGCAGAGATGGGTTCAGGCCCTTTCATTATTAAGGTAGAAGAGCCAGAGAGGGGGACACCATGGGGCTCTGGGGCGATGGGCAAAAGCTCCTTAGGGCTCCGCAACCTCTAGGCCGCCCCGCCCGAAGGTGGGGTCGGCCCCACTGCGCCTGCGCCAGGCTGCGCGGCCGGAGAACGCGGCCAAGGAAGGACTGCCCTCCACGGCAGGACCCTTGTGGTTGAAGGACTTTCACAAATGAATAAAAAACTTGAGTGGTCCAAGGCCAGGGGCCAGGCGGAGCATCACTAAGTCGCCTGGAGGCGTGATGAGCGTGTATGCCACCCATGTTCCCTCAGTGCCACCTTTTGAGAACTGCCCGCTCTCGGATCTGCCAACCCCAGGCCCAGGCGGGATCTGCAAGCTCGTCACTCCGGGAACACCTAGGTCCCGCCCGGATGTCCACGGGAAGGAGTCTCGCGGGGTCACGGACCAGAAATACAAGCCCAGCTCGGACACAGCCTGGGTCGTAGCACCACAGGCCCCTTTGTCACCTGCACGGGTCGCGAGCGGGCAGGGGAAAAATAGGGACGCGCACTCATGTGCAGCAGTTCCCGCATGCGCACAGCCCCGTGGCCACACCGCACCCCCCCCCCTCCCGCCGGCGCGCACACCGAGCGCGCACGCGCACTCGCACACAAAGCCAGCGCCGCGCGCGCCCGGCCGCCCCGCCCCCGCCCCCCGCCCGCAGCCGGAAATGCGCGCGCGCGGCCTTACCGAGCGGCAGGCCCTTGTTGAGCAAGTGCGAGCTGCCCATTGAAAGGCGCGGGTGGCCGCGGGCCCCGATGAGTCCGGCGCTCTCCGCCGCCGCGAGCCCTGCGCCTGGGGCGGCTTCGGCGCAGTCTGCTGCTCCGCCCGGCCGCCTGCGCCCGGCCGCCGCCGTGCCGAGCCGCCACCGCGCCGCCAGCCGCGCTCCGACCGACGAGCGGGCGGGGACACGCGGCGCGCGCGCGCGGGCGGGGCCTCGGTTGGTCTGCTGTTTGCCGGCAAGGCGGCGCGCTGGACGTACGCGGGCGGCTCAGGGGCCGCGCTGCCCGCCGGCCCCGCGCTCGGCCCCCACCACTCGCGCCCCTCCCAGGCTGGGTCCCCTTCCTGGACACGCCCCCAGCTGTTCCCGCCCCGGGCCTCCCCTCCCCTGCGCGTACCCGGGACTGCGCCTCTGCCACTCCTTGGCGCGGTGACCCGGGCCGGAGCCCGCTTGGTGGAGCAGCCCATCCGCGTGGGGCGCTGCCGGGCTGGTTGCTGCGGCCTCAAGCGGACAGCGAGAGGGGCGCACCCGGCCTGAGTACGGCTGGAGCTGGGGCCGCAGACCCAGGACCAGGAGCTGGACAGCGCCCTAGCCGGGGAAGGTGATCTGAGTGCGAGGCTGGCTGTTGCTGGGGCTGTCAGGCAGGCGTGGCAAGTGATACCACTTAGCTGTTCAAAAAAAAAATCGCGAAAACAGCCCAAACTATAGGGTGCTGAAGGCCATCTTGTTACCTACGTCTTTTGAAAATCAAATCTTTCAGAAAGGTGGGCAGATCCAGTGACAGATGACAACGGTCTGGGCGTCTGTTTACAGAACAAATGCTTTGAAAATACCTTCCAATTCGATCCCTTAGATCTCCCATGGATGGAGAAAAGGATCTAACAGGTGGACTTTCGAACCTGCTACCGTATTTCCTAAACAGACTAAGGGCTGGGGGAAGGCCAGCAAACATACACCTCCCCTTAGTCCCCACCCGCAGCCCAGACTGCTTCTTCCAATCCGCTCCAGTTTTCTCAGGCAGCAGGTAACTCCCTAGAGATCGTCCAAAGGGCTCCTCCCAGTTCTTCCGTCCTAGCATGGCAACTCCATGGTAGCTAACACCTCCCATTTCTTCTCAGCCGGCCCAAATTCTCGTTTCTTCTTGCACAGTGCGACCAGGGCCACCACATAACTCCATCACTGTGAGGGATTGTATCAGGGCTTGTTTAAACCCCTAGGGCCTCCAATTGCGCTAGAGGAAACCCAGGCTTCTTGTCACCATCACACTGACTTGGACCCGTGTGCCTGCTGTAGGAATACTCTTCATGCCTAGGCTGTTCTCCTACTCCAGGGACAGCCTCTGCCGGCAGGGGTCTGCTCCTGAGTATTTGAAGTGGAGAGATGTGGAAATGGACAGGGGGTTCTGAACATTCCCATCCTAAGAGAGACCTTCCGACTTTATGATTGCCCAGAGGCACCTGCACCACCTGCTTCTGAGAGAGGAGCTGGTGTCTGTTGGGCTGCACTCCACTCTGCTCAGCATTGCTCAAATCCTGAAGCCCTGAGTCATGATCCTGGTGCCAGCTAGCCAGCCAGCCAGCCAGGGAGAGTGTGATGTTCCCCCTCGCCTTGATTGTCTCCACCCCAGGCCACAGAGTAGGCTGGGTACCTGGTAAATGGACCCATCCTGCCGGCCTCACTCAGCTGTCCACCCTCTGGCATAGCAGTCTTCTTCCTGGGAGGACAAGAGGAACTACCCCCAGCTCTTCCCTTATTGGAAAATACTAGGTTTGCATCCAAGGAATGGGCCTGGTAACATGGCTCTTCTTCAGCTTAATGAAATCACATCTGTCTGCTGAAGCTAGAGGATACTCTGTACCCAACCAAAGAGACCTATGGAGAAACAGACTGTTCCCAAGGCACTACCCTGTGTACCAGCCCTTCTTGTAAGCAATTGGAGACTCTTAACTCTGCTGTTCTCAACTGTTGTTCAGATGATTACATAATTTACAGATAATAGTGTGGAAACTGGATGGGGCTTTAAGCATATCCACTCTAAGGCAGATTCTAGGCTCTAAGGAGGTCACCAGTGTAATGCTCACTTCCTCTTCTGGTCACCAAGATATAGACACCCACATATCTGTTGAGCACCTGGGAAGCATCTGAAAAGTTTAGGTGTCCCAGTCAGTGAGGGCTGGTGGTCCGGAACATGTGGAGCGCTGGAAGAGTAGGGAGCAGCCCTGTAGAGACCCAAGGAAAGAACACTTCAAGAAAATGAGCAGAAAACTCAAAGCCCAGATATAATACAGGAAACAGAAGGCTGTGGCTGGAGGCCAAGAAGAGCTGGGTTTGCAGGCCCAGGGACTTTTGGGAAGGGATGTCATGGTTGTTGGGATACAAATGGCTGAGACCCCACTGGGCTTGTCTGCTTGATGTGGATGGGTGACCCAAAAGATGTCTAGTGACATCCAGAGAAGTCAGTATCAGGGATGGTAGACAGAGCCCAAAGTCTAGCCACTGAGCAGAAAAGGTGATAGGGACAGGGGTTCTAGTTACTCCATCCTCTCTGTTTGGAATCAAGCTGAGACACACCAAGGAGCAGGTAAACAAGACTGTGGACAAATCTAGGCCTGTGTCTTGGACTTTGAATGGCAGGGCTTGCAGAAGGCCACGTGTGCAACGAACTTCATACATGGTGGAGCCCGGTAAGTAGGGCTCCTGGGAAGCAGGCACTCTCAGCTCAGAAACAGTTTCTTTCTCGTACCTATTTTATTTTGAAATGTAGCTGGAACCAACTCTTTCTCCCCAATATCTGGGGGCACATCTTAGGATTAGGCAAATGTGTTGGTTCTTTTATAAGTTGCCTTGGTCACGGTGTCTCTCCGCAGTAATAGAACAGTGACTGAGACAACAACAAAAGCCAGTCACAGATCTGCACCCACTTGGTGTCACGCTCCCTCTGCAGGCCTGGTCAGTGCTGTGCTGTGGCTCCTCTTTGTTTCAGTTACTTTTCCTGTCACTGTGACAGGAAACCTGACAGAAACAGCTTAAAGGGTGGGAGTTTATTTTAGCTCACAGTTCAAGAGTGGTAGTCCATCATGGCAGTGAGAGTGGGCCAGTCCATGGCGGCGGGAGCATGCGGCAGAGCTCCTCACATCTTAGTAGATCAGGAAGCAGAGATCAGATACCACCTCCAACTTCCCCTACACCCCCATGCACACATGCACATGCACAAACATACACACATGTGCACACACATACACACACACACACACAGCCTACTTCTGCTAACTAGTCCACAAGTCCCAAAAGTTTCACAACCCCTCAAAACACTGCCATTATCTGGGAACTAAGTATCCAAACATATGAGAGATGTTTCAGACTGACAGCTGCATCCCCTCTACTGACAGTCTTGCCTTATTCCTGGTGCTGTCTTCTCTAGCTGGGATTATGGCCACCCATAGAGCTCTTACCTGCTCTCCAGGGCAGTGACCAGAGTCAAGACATTTACACTCATGAGTGATGAACAGCTTTCTGTGCATATGGCCCTGTGTTTCTCAAAGCTCCCTGACACATCCTACCTGCTGAATTTCATTCTTTGACAGTTCTCATTCTTGAGCCAGCAACGAGGATCCTCCCAAGCTCCAAAGTTACCAGCATCAGACTAGAAGGGAGGTAGACACTGCCAGGAGAGTATTTTGATGTGGCCAGAAAATACAAGACCAAGCCTGCGCAGAGATGCTACTGCATTCAGCTGGACTCCACTGAGCATGGCGGCCCATCGCTCCACTGGAGGGCTCCAGTGGGAATATAGTGGAAATCTGAAAGGGACCCACACCATGAGACTGCAGAATTCGAGCCTCACAGCAGATCTGCACCACAGGGGCCACAAGCACCCATGGACCCTGGAGCTGAGACTTCACTTTCCACCCAGATTCTCAGTGTTTTGTGAAAAGCCATGCACCATTAGTGCCAAGGTTAATGTATCTCCTGGCCTCAAGATTTCCCGTATCCACAGCTATAATTTGTCAATATGTAATTTACAAAAATGTAAAACATTGCTACAAAATAGTCACAACACGACATGGTTAATCTTGATTGACAGCTTGATTAAATTAAGACCAAGGAGGTTTTTCTACACACCTTGAGCTTGTCTGTGAAGATATTCCCAGGAGGACTAAGAAGGAGACTCTCCCAGAATGTGGGTGGAGCCGTCACCATAGGCTGGAGCCCCACTGAAGGGAAGAAAAATGAAAATAAGTAAATAAATTTTGCGGGTGAGGTGGAAGGAGTGACGGGCAGATCTGTGCCTCACCCTGCAGGCTCCCCCTTAGCAGTGCTCTAACTCTTGTGGCACATGACATTGCTCTGGGATCAAATAATTTGTATCCTTCTGGGTGAAGGAGCAGCTTCTGGGACAGCACTGAAAGCTGAGTTGTCTTTTGGTCACATCTGGTAATGTTGACAAGATACAGTTTAACAATAAAGAGGATAGGAAGAGATGGTCAGCTCCCTCTTTGTTCCCTGAGGCTCATGTTATGAGGTCAGACAAATGCCAAGCATCCCTGGAATGTTCCATCATGTCTGGAGGACAAATATTTCTCAAATATTTCTGTTGTTAAATATTGCAAGTTCTTGCTGTTTTAGCTTCTGGAGGCCCCTTGCATTCTCATGTAAATGGAGGTTGTGTTTTGGCTTCTCTAAGCTGCCTTGTGTTGAATCTGTAGCTCCCTTTGGGTGGCAGTAGCCGCCTCGTGGCAAGTCTTCCTGTCCATGAATATGGGATGCCTTTCCGTGAATTTATTCTTTGGTAACTGTCCTTCATAGATTTTAGCATAGATTTTTAGCTCTTCTCTCTTTGGTAGGTTCACTCTCAGGTGCTGAGCTCTTTTAGAGGTTGCTGTGTATGGGATTGCTTCCTTTCTAATTTAAATGTGTCTTCTTGGTCTTTCCTTTTCTCCTCTATACTCTGCGTAGGACTTGTAGTAAAATGTTGAGTGTCAATGGTGAAATCATAACAGGAACTTTGAGGTGAAGGTGATATATACCAGAAGGCTTGTGTCTGTCTCTCTTCAGAGAGTTGTATCATTTCATGACGAACACTTAGTGAGCTCTATAGCCTATAAGCTAAACACCGCTGTTAACCCCATTTAACAGGTGAGGAAGCTGAGTCAGACAGAGGCAGTCTGCCCAGTGCCCCATACACAGCTAATGGCAGAGCTGGGACCCCACAGCAAGCCAACCTCACAGCCCAGGCATGACAAGATATAACCTACATTGGGGTGGGTGGAGTGGCCCAGGCACTCCTTGCTGCCCCCTGCCTCCTCTCTCTCTCTCTCTCTCTCTCTCTCTCTCTCTCTCTCTCTCTCTCTCTCTCACTCTCCCTCTCTCTCTCTCTCTCTCTCTCTCTGTGTGTGTGTGTGTGTGTGTGTGTGTGTGTAGAAGAAGTGAAGGTGTTACAGAATCCAAGCTCTGACCTCAGAGCCCCTCTAGGACAGGGACTCACATACTCAGCACTCTCCCTGACTCATGTCCCTTCCTCTCCAAAGGTGGCACTGTGCTAACAGACCCCTTCTGGTAGACCCAAAGCATTGAGTGCTGCTGTCCTGGGCTCACAGTCATCCCGTGCTGATTTCCGTTGTCAAAGTGTCTCTCGTGGCTTGAGTATGCTGCACGGAATCCTTTAAAGGCCCAGCTGTGGCTGCACTCAGGTTTCTGTCCAAGAGATCATTTATTTCACTTCCTCTTCTGTTTTCCCACTGGCATACTGCTGCCCCACATGTTCCCTGGAGGGAGACTGCCATCTCTGTTTTGAAATGGAGATGATAATACCTCTTGAGGGAAGGCAGGATTACAGCCCCACCTGCTGAGGACTGAGCTGGATTTCCCGCTAGGCACAGCCTCTTTCCCTACCATGTTCACATGTCCAAGCTAAAGATGGCCTCCTCTAAAATGATTATTTACAAGTTCTCTGCTGAACTAAAGCAAGATAATTTGGGGGGTGAGCAATACTGTTTACCTGAGCTACGCTTTCTGTATCATTGGAAGGAATCACATAAAATCACTTGATATCTGCTGCTGACTATACACAAAACCACTGGACACATGAGAACTTTTCTTTTTTGTTTGTTTGTTTTTGTTTTTCGAGACAGGGTTTCTCTGTGTAGCTCTGTGCCTTTTCTGGAACTCACTCTGTAGGCTAGGCTGGCCTCGAACTCACAGAAATCCACCTGCCTCTGCCTCCCAAGATGCTGGGATTAAAGGTGTGCACCACCACCGCCCGGCCACAAGAGAACTTTTCTAAGGTTTTGGTTGGGGACGACAACTTGTCCTCTGTTGGTGGTGTTGAAACAGTCATGGGGAGCACGGGTTCTTGCGCCAGGCTGGTCTGCCATACAGAGCTCAGTCAGGACATGGATGCCCACACCAGGGGCCTAGTGAGCAGTGTAGTCAAGCTGATGGCACTGAACTTGTCCTATGCTTCCCACTTGATAGATGCCCTCCAAGTGGTTGCATAAGCAAGGTACGATGGAGTGTTCTAGAACTCCTGGGAATTGTAGGCTAGGCCATGGTAGCAGACAAGGAGGCCTGCCACTGGTCTGTACCACTTCTCACCTCTATACCCTCAGCTCCTTTGTAAACTGAAGCTGAGAGCCAAACTGAGCTAAATCCCCATCAATATCCCTTTTAAAGATTGATTTATTGAATGATTGATTGATTGGTTGGTTGATTGATTTTGTTTTTTTCCAGACAGGTTTTCTCTGTATACCCTTGACTGTCCTAGAACTCACTCTGTAGACCATGCTGACCTCGAACTCAGAGATCCATTTGCCTCTGCCTCCAGAGTGCAGGGATTAAAGGCATGCACCACTACACCTGGTTATTTATTCTTAAAACTGAAACTCACTATGATAGCCCTGCCTGGTCTGGAACTCATTCTTGCCATGTAGACAAAGTTGGCCTCGAACTCACAGAGATCTGCCTGCCTCTATCTCCTGGGTCCTGAGATTAAAGGCGTGTGTCATACCCAGCTTTTTATTTGTTTTATTTATGTGTATATGTTTGTATATCTGCATGAGTGTGTGTGTGCCATATGCATGCAAGTGTCTGCAGAGGCCAAAAGAGGGCATCAGATCCTCTGGAGCTAGAGTTAAAAACAGTGAGCGCTAGGAATCAAACAATTCCTCTTCAAGAGCAGTAAGCACTCTTAACTGCTACGCTGTCTCTCCAGCCCCTCCATTCCTTCCTGTTCTTGGGGATGCTCACATACATGATCTGAACCCACATGCCCAAACTTTGTCCACAGCCTCACGGTTACCTGGCTCACAGCTGCCTCTGGAGCCCATGCATACTCACAGGAAGGCATCTTCCTATGAATGCTGCCATCAGGAAAGCAGCTCTCCCAGGTTGTGGCCACAGGGAATGCTGGGGCTTCAAGAGCATGCTCCGTTCTATGGAGTCCATGGCATGTCAAACCGTGAACTCTGAGCACTGTATGACAAGTGCAAGCCACTTGCAAATAGTGTCACATAATCTCAACTCTGCCACAGCAGAAAGAACTCATCTGATGTGGACTTTACATATTAAAACATTGAGCCCTAAACACTGGAGTGCTTAAACCTCCACAGAAGAGAGTTCTAAGAAGTCACTACATTCATTTTTCTCTGTTTCATTATATTAATAAAGGAATTTAAAATTGTTATTAGCGCCCTGCTGTGTAACTCAATCCTCCTACCCCAGCCTCTGGAGTACTTGAATTACAGGCATGCACCACCATATCTGGTTCAAATTTTTCTAATTAAGATTGTGTCTATAACTCAAGTGAATAAACAGAAAAGCTGAGTGTATTGGTGACTTGGCATAAAAAATTGACTAAAATTCAGGGAGCAATGATATAAGATGTTGGGATTTTAGAATGAGTAATTACCCTTGGAAAGCGGAGGGACACTCGGTTTCAGAGAATAGCAGATCTATTTTTATTGTAGTGAAAATTCATTCACACCAAACACTCTGGGGGGGTGAGCTGAGTATCGTTACTGCTGAGGGTATCGTGACTGAGGACAGATGGAAATTCCAGCCCTGAAGCACTCTTCTCCAGTCTCTCCCAGCTTGCTAAAATCAGCCTTCCAGGACTTCTGCCTCCCCACAGGCTGTGGAGGCTGACAGAACACAGTCTGCCCAGGAAAATGGCCCTGCCCGCTGGAGCATGGGGGACAGCCGGACGAGCCACGGCAGCATTGCTTCATTTTCTAATTTCATCAAATGCCTACAGATTCCAAGAAGCCTGAACGAACCAAATTCCAGAAAGTTTGCAGCCCTCCCTGGGCACTGGACTGTGGCTGCTTTCATTTCTGTGGAGAAAAGAGAGGAAGCAAGGTCAAGGAATGCACAGTGAGTGCGTGACAAGGACGGAACCCCCCCCCCCCCCCCAGGCCAGGGTAGGGCCTGCGTTCTGTTTCCAGCCTTCCTGTAGGTCTCACAGAGCATATGGGCCTCATGTGTGTAACTGCAGGCAAGAGTCCTTGAAGGAGTCTGTCTTAGTTTGGGTTTTTATTGCTGCAAAAAGACACTATGACCGTGGCAGCTCTTAGAAAGAAAACATTTAATTGGGGTGGCTCCCTTACAGTTTCAGAGGTTCAGTCCATTGTCATGATGGAGGTGAGCATGGCAATATACAGGCAGACATGGTGCTGGAGCTGAGAGTCATTACCTCTTGACTCAGAAGCAACAGGAAGCTGACTGACAGTCACACTGAGAAAAGCTTGAGCAAAAGAGACCTCAGAACCCACCCCCACAGTGACACTTCCTCCAACAAGGCCACACCTCCTAATAGTGCCACTCCCTTTGGGGGCCATTTTCTTTCAAACCACCACAGAGTCCCTCTTAGATGTAAGGCTTCTTCTGAGTACACACCACAGCTTTCTGAAGTCTGAGGACAGGGCAGGGGGCTAAGAAAGATGCCCAGAGTCCCGAAAACCAAGTTGGACTGCAGCCAGACCACCCACAAGTGGCCTACTAAGCTAGAAGTTCTAGAAGTCTGTGGTCCAACTGTAAAGCCTTGAGAGACCCGAGCTTCTATGTCATCCACACACAGACCCTGCAGGGAAGTTCTGCTGCAGGTTAGTTCTGATCTCACTTGCAGTCTATTTGCAGTAACTAAACCTCATTAAAGTCACAGCACAACCTGGACTCCTCAACTTCAAATAAATCGGTTCACCCTGTCACATGAGTGTTCTGACCAAGGAGGAAGTCTGCCCTTCCTAGACAGATACTATTTACGTGTGTCTCAACAAGTCTTTATCCACAACGAACAGGATAAAGTTAAAAAAATTACCAGACACATGAGGAGGACAGTGTAAAGTTAAAAAAATTACCAGACACATGAGGACAGTGACTTGAAGAAGTGTCATTGATTCTGTGGTCAGAAGGGACTGTAACCATAAGTAGAGATCAGAAAAGGTGGACAGCATGCATAAACAAACAGGAAATTTCAGGAGACAGGTTTGAGTCATAAAAAGCACCAAAAGGAAATTCTAAAAATAACAGTATGGCATTGGAAATGAATTAATCAGAGGAAGGGATCTGTGAACTCGAGAATAAGAATATGTTAATTAGGGCCTGCAAGACAGCTCATCAGGTAAAGATGTTTGCTACCAAGCCTGGTGACTGAGTTGGAGCCCCAGAACTCACATGGTAGGAGAGAACCTACTCCAACATATTGTCCTCTGACTTCCACACATGTGCTTTGGCATTCATGTACACATATGTGCACACACACAGTGAATAAAAATATGTTAAGAAAAAGAAAATATGTAATACCCAAACTTAAACACAGATGGGAAAAAATTCGTTTTAAAAAAGATATCTGATCTATGTATGATGTTATACTGAGGGGCCAAGAAGACCACGCGTTTGAGGACAACCTGGGCTCCACAGTGAGAGACTGTTTCCCAAAACAGCCTGGAAAAGGGATGATAAGATGGCTCTAAAGGTAAAAACACTTACCTCACACCCAGTCCCTGGAACCTATATAAAGATGGAAAGGGAGACCTGAATCTACGTTATCCTCTGACCTCCACGGCACAGCATGCCATGACTCACATTCACCCATCCACCAATACACACAAACAAATGTTAATAATAGAAATGTGAAGCCTAAAAGAAAAACAATATCAAAACAAAACAGAACAAAAACAAAAGAGGGCCAGTGAGAAAGCTAATCAGGTCATCTGGTTAAGGGGCTTGCCACCAATCTTGACAACCAGAGTTCAGTTCCTAGAATCCACATGGCAGAGGAAGAGATAGATTCCCATACGTTATACCCTGATTTTCACACACACACACACACACACACACACACACACACACACAGAGAGAGAGAGAGAGAGAGAGAGAGAGAGAGAGAGAGAGAGAGAGAGAGAGAGAGAGAGAGAGAGAGAACAGAATAGCTGCCAAAGGATTAAAGAAGCCAGAAGAAGCTGGGTGGTGGTGGTGCAAGCCTTTAATCCCAGCACTGGGGAGGCAGAGGCAGGCAGTTCTCTGTGAGTTCAAGGCCAGCCTCGGCTACAGAGTGAATTCCAGGACAGGCTCCAAAGCTACACAGAGAAACCTTGTCTCAAAAAAACCAAAAAGAAGAAGAGGAAGAAGAAGAAGAAGAAGAAGAAGAAGAAGAAGAAGAAGAAGAAGAAGAAGAAGAAGAAGAAGAAGAAGAAGGAGAAGAAGAAGAAGAAGCCACAAGATTCCCAAAGGCCATACTGGAGGCAGAGAGCTGATACAGATGCAGAACGTCACTGCAGGTAGGTAGACAAGACACTAAAAGGAACCAAGCTTGGCATCAGCTGCTGGAGGAAAACTAAACTGCAGGGTTTGGTGGAGCCACAGAAGCACAGGGCCACCAAGGTAAGGTGTAGGACCTGTCTAAAAAGATAGGTGGGTGGGTGGGTAGATGGGTAATGAGTGGACAATTTAAAATTCAATTGGACCATGTAAAGCCCTGGGGATCAACTGAGTTGAAGTCCTGGGAGAGTCAGGAATTCTCTGCCTCTTGGTCCCTTTACCCACACACAAGGTGTCCGGATAACAGGTCAGTGGTGCTGTCACAGCCATCACAGTGGTACATGCGCTCCTATTTATGGGTTCCAGGTGACAGCATTGCACCTTTCCTTGTTATAATATGCTCCATAAGCTCCTGGGCCTGGATCATCTGATGTGTTGTTTTAAGGTTTATTTTACTTAGTTATTTATCTACAGGTGAGTGTGTCTCTGTATAAATAGGCACATATAAATATCTCTGCATGCAGATACCCACAGAAGCCAGAGGCATCAGATCCCCTGGAACTGGAGTTATAGCCTGTTGTGAGCCACCTAATGTGGATGCTGAGAATTGAACTTGGGTCCTCCGAAAGAGCAGCAAGCACTCTTTACTGCTGGACCATCTCCTGCCCCTCTGATATGGCTTTAATATCTCCATGTGCTCCAATTTTTCTGATCTACTTTGATAAGTTTCTAGGTGGTAGCTTTTCACTTGTATAAACAGTCCATGCCTCATGGTTTGTGCAGGGCATGTGGTGTCTTCTACATCCAGGAACAAGGTGCAGAATCATCCTACCTCTGCGTTTGCTCTCAAAACAGAGCCGAGTGCTATGGATAAAATGGAGTCACCTCGGGTAAGGCACAGTCTGAAAGCCACTGTTCCAAACAATGTGGAGTGTCTTTGGGCAGGGTGTGGCCTAATCTTCACAGAACAAGACTAAATGTGGACAAAACTGAGAAGGCTCATTTCCGGAAGGCCTGCACAGTAGGTACAAGCAGAGCTCTGGAGGGTGAAGGAATGGCGTTGTTAGAAACTGAATTTGCATGAAGAGATGAGAGAAGCAAGAGACTAGATATGTAAGTGAATGAGCAACACTTTACATACTTATGATGCACTTACATGTTAGGAAGGGAAAAAGCAAATGGAGAGGGTCTGTTTACCATCTATTTGGAAAGAGATTCTTTCTCTAAACTGTTGACTGCAAAAGCATCGGCACT